TTGTAAAGATATAACCGAATTTACATTTCATGTAAATATAGGGATGAAATTAGAACTTTATTTTCGATAAAGTCTTAACAAAATTTTTCAATAAGAAATGAATGCAAATATTTTGATGATTACTTTTAATGCGTATAAATATTTGTAGTGCATATTTAGCATATTTTTGGTTTTAGAAGAATAATTATATACAACTGTACATAAAATAAAATTTCACTTAAGTGTTGTTAACATCATTAATTGCAACATAAAGGGTTTTAATATTTTAAACATCACGGTAACATAAAGAGGCATTTAATTGTTTACCATGACGCCAATGGCCATTCAGATATCTTCAACTGACTACAAGAGATGTTCTTTACATGCTTGCCGAAACATGTAATTGAATTATCTAAATAATAAGTAATTCATGTCCTTAAGTGTCATGAATATATTCATTGCATTTGGACTTCGATATTTGTTTTGTTGAAGAATGCATGTCATAACCGATAAAGATGAAAAACTGGAACAGTTGTGGTCAACAAATGCACATACAAAAAACTTCATTAGATAGCAAAATACCATCCTTCGACTTAGTAAATGATTTTTATGATACATGTAATATTTGGTGACTTGTAACATAATGGTTCATTTTTTACATGCATTGAGCATTTTAGTTGTCTTGAATATAACGACAGCCAGCGAGATTGCTCTAAGCACTGGGCGACTCGACTTAATGTCTAACGGGCCAAAATAAATGCGCTTACAGTGTGTCAATTGGTGCCATGGGCTTTCTTCTTGTTTTTTTTTTTTTTTTACTTTTTCCTGGAGCCGGGCATAAGTTATACGTATTTTCTATACCTTCTTAACATTTGTTTAAGTTTCTGACTCGTGTGACAGCTCTCGTTTGTAATGTTTTACAATGTATAATGTTAACACTGAGATGTCTTCGATCATGGACAGTGAAATCTTTCTCTTATTTCGTTAACACGACGTAAAGCTGCATGCCTTAAGATAAGCCAAAATATTTCAAGAAATCAATATTTAGAAAATGTACTTACATTTTAAGAAATGTAATATACATTCAAGATCCAAGTGATATTTTACATGTTATATTGTTATTTGCGGTTGAAGATTGCTTTTGCAGTATTTTATCACCAAATATTTTCACTGCGTTACTAACGCAGTAAGGGCTGTTTTTGCATATGTTGACCACGTTTTGGTAATATTCTTGAATTATTATTGTAAGTGAATATCGCAATATGTAAATTGCTCTATTTGTTCTTTTCACAATATTTCTTTTAAATACATTTCCAAAATTTTCATGAAAATAAACATGAATCTGGATGCATGGTGCTTTAATTTCTTTACAAAGCTAGCATACATATTCGTTGTTTATTTTAGTCAGTCATGAAATACCTGTATTGTGGAATCAGGCGATAAAAAACGTGAGTTATTTGAAATATAAGACATCAAGACAAAGCGTCTGGCAGTTCAAAAACTTTAACAACAATATCGCATGTGCTGTGAAACTGAGAACATGTACTCCAAGCAATACATTGACGATTCTTTTTTAGGTTATTTATCTGTTAATAAATGGTAACAGTAGGTCATATATCATTGTTCTTTTCATGCCTGAAAGTAAGATTAATCAATTCCAAACAATCACCGGGGTTTGGGGGGGGGGGTCGGAAGAACCCTGTATGGATCTCAATATTGAGCATCGGTAAACAAATATGTGTATTTCGGCTGATACACTATAGCCCCATATGTGAAATAGAAAATAGGTCAACCAAAGGGTAAGTTTTCGACGCTCTAAACATTAATAAAAATTTTCAAAGTTTTGTTTCTCAAAGAAATTCGGAATATGAATGTGTCATACGAGATTCACCCTCCTTGTACGTGCAGCCATTGTCATTTCAGTCTCAAAACTTCAAAAATAATGGCAGGCTTGTTCTCCATGGGTCACTTCAAATTTCCATATTTAGTTCCAGATCGTCGATCTATGATGTACGTACAAGTATAAACTGATCCTTATCAACATTTCTTTAGCAAACTGAATCAATGAAGTCATGAATTATAGATTGTTTGTATTGTGGCGAGGTTTGAGAATAGTGAAAAATATGACACAATTTCTCTGTATTATTTCTACAGGCTTAATATCTATCGGTGCTCATGTTGGGATACTGTCAGTCTCCATTAATTATTCAAAGATGTCAAGTGGTGAATAATAAACTTCCACCGCGGGGCTTAGCAAAATATTTAATTATTAACTGACAGACATATCATAAGATTTCTGTCAAAATGAGATGTGCACCATAATTATTATACATTTTTAAGGATTTTTTATTCTTAGAGATATGTAGCACTTCCAAATTTCAAGCAATAATTACAATTGACTTTCTGAGGGTCTGTAAGCTTTGTTTTTTTTATTTTGGTTATGTCTGATTGTCCTTGTAGAGAGTACTTTGTGGGGGTTCTAATCAGATAAACTAACCATCATTCATTAAGAGGACGCTTTACCTGTTCTTAATTTAGCTAAAGTAAACAACTCACTATGCTATACATTGTACAGCCTTTCAATTATTGTTTTTCACATTGTTTCCTTGTAACGAAATGTTTTTACCCAGAAAAGCAACAAAGGGTAGTCAAATTTCTGACAACCAGTTATAGCTTTGTTGTTCTATGACAGACAAAAGTATAAACTTTTCATCTTGATGCTATAAAGGGTCAGATATATCTATTATTGTAATATTTCCTGTATTGACTCTTATCATCCATTATTCAATACAATAAAGCTAATATATGGTATGATTTCTGAACTACAACTTTATACCTCATGTATATTTTAATAAGAAAATGTATTGTTTTGCTGCTATCCGCCGAGATAAAACAAAATATCATATTTCTGTGTTCAATTGGCAAACGAAAATACAAAACAGAAGGTGTGACAGGGCTTGTAAGGTCTTGTCTTTTATACATGGTGTGTCTGAGACACACAATGTGAGAAATTGTTTCTTATTTCAAAGTTGATACAGTTTAGTTTCTAACATTATGATCTTTAACAATAAATGTAACTTTACATTTGGACCTTCCTTACTATATATATTTTGCATCTACAAAATTGTGATGACCTTTGTCTGAAATCAGTTAAGTGGGGATTTTTTTTGTGCTTGGAAAGTAGTTTTACTTGGTGCTTACATTAATTTGTGTTCAATATAAATTGATAATTTTGCTTGGTGTGTTTCGTAATTGTTACTGATCACTTAAGGCAGAAACTTACCATTGAAGCTCTTTTAAACCTAAATAATTGGAATTTTGACTAATATAAGAGAAAAGAAATGAGGTTATGGAATGATAATGTTCACATAATGTCAAAGAAAACTGGAATAAAGATGGCACCATTAAAGAGACAGGTAACTCTAGTACAAGTACAAGACAAAGAGGAGTTAAAGCTAATGTTTTTTTTTCTGATTTTAGTGATACAGATTGACATGAATAATGTTTTTGTTTTTCGTGCGTAAAAATGAATGAAAAGTGCTGAATGGAAGTGATGTCAAGGCCAACGCTACTCATAAAGTTTCAATAAAAATTAGATACAAAAAGTGTTGGTTAATGCTGGAAAGAATAAATGCTTTTATCTAAGAAAGAAGGTCTTCATCGAAAGAATGATAAGACCAATGTTCTTGTTCAAAGAGACACAGTGCACAATGCAAGATTGCGTTTTAAATTTATCCGCCAGTACAATCCTACACTGGACACTTGTTCTGACCTTAGTCAATTAAATTGAGAATTACTATTTATTACTTAAATATAATGTGTCTGTAAAATAATTAAACTTTCGTGGATTTATCTGCGTTGTACCAGATGAAAGTCAAATTTTGAAGACAATACTTCCTGCGGCTTTGTTAGCAACACATTATGCCACATAATTATGACCATACTCCACTAAAAAGGAATCGCTATCTGTTATTTCCGTTAGCATAAGAAACCCTTTTTATACTTAAGAGTGTAAATGCGTTACAGGTATACGGGACAAAAGAGACCACTAACTCGTGACAATTGTCAACATTTTGACATCTTCCATATCTCAGCATCAGTAAGACGATAAGCGACGGATATGATGTCAAGCCAACGCTTTCGAAATACATACTCACATTACGTACGGAATTTAACAAAGTTAATCGAATCTTTGTAAATGTATATAAATCCGGTATATCTTAAATGTTGACTGACAATTAATCATACATGTACCTGCATAGATGTGCAAGAAACCCTGGAAATAAAATTATACAAGTGTGTGTCAAGAAAATTATCACTCTGAATTAATCAAAGTACTGAAAGTAATTGTGAAATGCAATTATCGTATTTTGAAAGATCTTTTATCAAAACCTTTTTCATTCTTACGCAAAGAAACATTTTCTTAGCGGCAATATAGGAAAAAGTGAAGTCATCCAAAAAAAATCGTCTATACTCTGAACCCTGAAGACCCCATTCCACAGCGGCTACATCATGCTTCACTATTGTACTACTCATGGTAATTAACTGCTTCTATATTCTGGCTTCACAAAAATAATGATTTGTGCATGTTTTGAAAACTAATACAGAACTTTTTCTATCGAAACGCGTAAAATGCTAAAAATGAAATGGTCGTATGTATTAAACTTATTAAAAACGGATTAGAAGTTCAAATCCAAGAAGCAAAGATTTTGCCATTTAAAAACCGTCGCTATAATATAATCTTTAATATTGACTCTCTTGTTGAAGATTAAAAAATTCCCAAATATCTTGAGATCCTTTTCCCAAACTGTGATTTTTATTGAGTCCTGTTCCCAAAATGATATTAGCTTTATTCATTTTTTACATATAGCAAGGTATGAATTCCCTGATATTTATTTAGTTCTTCTTCATTTATATTTAAAGATTGAAAGAGCCATAAATGACCATTTATAATAAAAAATGGCGTCTATTAAGATGAAAAATTAAGTAAGACAGATTTTTCTTTTTGATTGCTGTTTGCATTTTATTCAATATAATCAACAACGAAATTACAAATTTATTATTTTTCTTTTTTGGAGACAAGGGTTACAAAAATTACATCTAACTCTATTTTCCTATACTTTCTTTGTGCACAGACTGATATCTCGCTCTTATACCCGGTTATTTGACGGTCTTCAGTTTGACGACCCCTGTCTTGGTGCATCAATAACGGAAGTGACGTCATCAATGCTGTTTGCACAAAAACGCTTAAACACAATCCTCTTTATAGCTTGTCTGAATTGTTTGTTTCTAGCAACGTATACGAGAGGGTTCCATGCACTAACTGATTTAGCTAACAGTGGAGCTGCCATCGCGGCTGCTGGGGGTAGATTGGTGACGTCATTCATCATGGTCCATATTGACATCACAGCATACGGAGCCCAGGCGATCATAAACGACACTATTGATAACAATTAAAAATAAGGCATGTGCACGATAATGACACATTCATAATCAAAGTTTTGTTAAAGCATTTCATACATTATCATAATTTGTATGGATCCGGTCAACTTCCGGTATCTAGTAGCTTAAGCTAATGGTGACATTGAATATGAATTTTATTTCAAAAAGTGTTAACTATATATAAATATATTAGGATAAGGTCGTTTCATACTCTGGAAAAACTTGTACGTGCATTAATTATAAATCAATGAACATTTACATTTCGTCACAAATAATGTACTGTTAATCTGTCAGCAGATTAAGTTCAAACGAATGTTGAGCTCCACCCTCGTCCCCAACCCGATAACCCAACCCGATAATGTTGACGCAGAAAGACCTCCGTCTCCCGATAAAATTGACAGTATGAGGCATCCAGATATTGCTAACTTAGGTCCATAACTCAGATAAGGGTGTTGAAACGTTGCTATGACAAGTGCATAGGAATCTGACGTCAATACGCGCAGAATTTTATGTGTTATATAAAAGAAGGTATAATGAGAAACTTACATATCACAAGGAACGAGGACACAGCCACGCTGATCTCTTTAGACCTGGCACGTGCTACAAACTCATCCTGATGGGCACATTGTTGTCTTACCTGAAGTAGAAAATATTCAAGCTTATATTATTAATCTTGAAGAGAGAAAATATAAGTATAATCATTACCATATTCATTTACACTAATAAACTAAAACCGGATTCACTTGAACTGAGTGAAGTCGTCGACGGTTTATGCCTAATCTACACGACAACTGCTGATGTTTTAAAATATGTTCACGATTATTTTGTTAGTGTAGACGACCTTTGCATTAAAATTATCATCGGTCATAATCTCTACTAAATAGATTTTCCAAATGAATCATTTTGTCCCTTGGCACCAGGAGAGTAGAATTTATACAAATGAGTGTTAACACGCAATTTGAAAGTTTATATGATACAAAGTGATTCGTTTTGACAGATGAGGTGTTTGGGGACAACATATTCTAATTATGCCTGCTCTCTTATGTACATATATATTTTAGTGCCAATTATTAAAGTTCATGACATATTTAGATACAAATAAATATATAAAATGATGTAAAGTATGTATTACCATGACTAGGATTCGGAAATAACAGAATGCTATGATGGTTACAGGCAAGATAAACACCAGCACTAGAATAACTATAGCATACGAGCGTGGAGATGATGCGTAATTTGCCCAGTCTGGTCCGCACGAAAATCCACCTGGTTCCACCACAAATCTTCCCCAACCAACCAATGGAAATGTTGCCCATAGTAACCCGTATCCGAAACAAGACAGAATCGTCATTGCAGCTTTAAAGGTGGTGATTTTCTTCGCAAATGGCGCTTCTGTTACTACAAAGTAGCGGTCAATCGCAACAGCAGTAAGAATGCAAATGCTGGAGACGCCAAGCAGCGTAACAACGAATCCATACCCCTCGCACCATGCGGCACCAAACAGCCAGTCGCCATGAAAATACGAGGCTATGACAAATGGATATCCTAACAGAATCATAGCTATGTCACAAACGACGCATCCTATTATGAGAACATTTGAAGGAGTCTGTAATGCCTGGGAATAGCGGAACGTATGAATGACTGCTGAATTCGCTATTAGTCCCACAACACCAATGAAGAAAAATACAATTCCTAAAACTATGCGTGAGGGATCTTGTTGTAACCCCGCCGCCAATCTATCGCTAGTGTGAGCATTATATGCGGAGTCCGTCACCACCATGTTTGTCAGTTGTTCAAACTTCTTCTATCTTTATTATATTATCCATAACTACATTGTTTCGTACGAAAGCTTCCATTGTTCTTTTTAATAAACTGAAATCATGTACTGTTTATGTTCGAGGAAACATTGATATGTGTTTCACTTTTAGAGATATCTTAGATAAGACAGTTATATTCTTATCTTTACATGACTGTCTGCGTTACCTAGCAACCGCAATTAGCGGTATTAGCACCAACTAGAAGAAAGATACTGTTGTCATGGTGAAATGTGGCGAACGTTGACTTTCAAAGACAACAACATACATGTACTTAAATATTCTTCTTTTTAATACATAACATAAGACATTTGTTTGTTCGAAAACAGTTTGAAAGTTAAAAATCATGTAAAATTGCTTTTTTTGTAAAATAGATTTCTGATTATGTGGTTTAGGAGTATTATGGTCTTTTTTTATTCTTTATTTAACAAACAGTTGTCAGTTTGGTCCAATTAACCGTAAACACATATCATATGACTTTTCCAACTATATGTACAAAATGTACTTGATTAAAGACTGTGTATTCAGTTAAAAATTTCAAACAATACCGGTCAAATAGGAAACAATTATGAAATTAAAGTTAATATTTTACATGCTTCTACATGCAATGTGTGCATACTTGTTAGTATTTTCAGTAATCTAGTAAATATATAAGTTTGCATGGTGTAGACCAGTATATTTTGAAAAACAAAAATTATGAGATAAGTGCATGCGTTTGTTTGGTTGCTTGTGCGTGCGTCGTTTGTGTGTGTATGCACGCGGGCGGGTTTGTTTACCCTTGCTATCAAAAGATACCATATGGGCTGGCAAGCTACCTTGCTTTGTTAAAAAATATTTAGAACAATTATTTGTTTGTTTGATGTTTGTTGTCTGTTTCATTAATTGAGTGATTGATTGATTGATTGATTGGGTCACACAGATAAAGTAAGGTCATATGGTGACGTTTAAGCTGTACTGGCGGAGGAAGACCTCAGGTGCTCTTCCGTGAATTTTTTCAAGCACAAACGGGCACGTGAGTAGAACCATCGACGTTCCGAAAGCTTGCTGGAACACTTCCTCACATGAAAGAATCCAAAGTTCCTGTCGGGATTCGAACCCACAGCGTTGAGGGACGTGTGGCTTGAAGTCAACGGCCTTAACCAGTCAGCCACGGATGCTCTCATTAATGAGTCGTAGGACATACCGTTTAGATGTTATTTTTAGATTGTGCCGTGTTTATAAATGAAATAACCATTGCAACGCATGATGCTTTATGTACCGGCTTTTAGTTGCCTTTGAAGGGTTTTCACGTAAGGAACATTCGACTATTTTTCGTTTGACGTTTTCTTTAAAATGGTAAGGAAGCAGTTTGACGTGTATTTTTGATAATTTGAAGTTAGATACATATCATGGTTATGTTGCAATACTTCAGATAGGTGACATTTTTAATGTGGTTCGGTGAAATGTTTGTCTAGAACCTATGGAAACTCTCATGTGCCCCGAAATTTTAGAAAATCTGTTTCCATCTGACTTTTTAATACTTTCATTTTCAAATTCGGTTGACAAGATAATTATATAAAGCAAATACATTTTGCTGATTACAATGAACATATTGTAAAAGATTTTTGTGTAGTTTTGTGTAGCACTATTATATTCACCTTCATTATCAATATCTGCATCTTGGTTGTTCATCATAGTTTTTCTCTATCTTTTACACATCTGTGAAAAGGTATTTAATTCTCCTTTTCACTACCCTCTTATTATTTAGTAAGTAATGCTCTTGCATATTTGATTTATTCAAAGTAATTCTTCTATTTAACTACATTTTCATTGAATAGCTGTTTTACCACAAACGTATAAGACCAGAGAAATCGATATTACATGTATGTAAATTAGAATTAGCCATAGATAACTTGCTAATCAAACCATTCCTTAAATCAATATTAGATAACGTCAGATATTTGCTTTAACATTATTTTACAAAACAAATATCTGTGAAAGGGATGAACTGAGTACGCGATTCCTTCTTACCTAAATATATGATACATGTATATGTAGAATGAGCGCAATATGTTCAAGCATGTTTGCAGACGTAATACATTAGACTTATATTAATCGGAAGTTGTAAAGCTTATTTCATAATAAAAACATAATAATTATGAACAAGTTTTGTGTGTGTGTGTGTGTGTGTGTGTGTGTGTGTGTGTGTGTGTGTGTGTGTGCGCGCGCGCGTGCGTGCGTGTTTTGTTTTTGTGTTCTTCTTATAAGTTCTTTTTGTTATTGTGTTAGCATCAGTATTGTCTGGCGATTTAACAACTTTCATGCAAGAATCAAATTCCTAAAAATATGTCCACCTGTACAATTTGGGTATTCAGATAAACTTTAAAAGGACTGTTCCAATTTAAAAGCAGGGCAAACAAATGAGAGAATTTAAAGTAAACAGCGTAGGATGAGATACGTATCCTTTTCCTCGGGTTTCTCTTATATTATAAAATAGCTTTTTTTAGTAAAGATCGGATATCTCATTACCAATGAAACCGTACCCAATGAAATCGCAAATTTTTTCATACAAAATATCTTGTTTGGTGGTAAAAATATCGGTCTTTATGTAATATGTTATGAGATAATGTCTACTGTATCAGAGAAAACATGTGAAAAAGATGATCAAAAAGACTAGGAGTTGTGTTCAGACGAACAGTCTAATTACAATAATTATTTTAATTAGCCTAAGAATAGGGAGTGGTGGATTGTTGGAAATGTCAAATTATGGATCATATTTTGTCTTTTTATATACTGTATTTAGTAACACAGACTGATTGAAATTAGTTAATAAGATGTTAAATACAAAATTATTTTTATTAGCATAATCATTAAACAACAACAACGAAAATCTTATAACACGACTTGTTTAAAATGCACAAACCAGATTTTAGGCATTCAAACTTGGGAAGGGGGGAGGGTAAATCGAGCACAATATTTTAACAAAATTTGGCGTATAATTTCGTAACAGCATTCAGAAAAATACGAGTCGACATTTCAAGGGGAACACAGAAAACAAGAGAGTGTTTCTTATATTATCATTTATTTCAAAGCAAATGCAAAGTACTAAGACCAAAGTTCTTCCAAATTTCGAGCGCTGATAAGATGGGAAAACTAATCCTTGAGAAGGAATGCTTGGAATTTTTCTTGCACATCTGAAGACAACATAAAGGCTTCTTTATCTTAAGTTTAAAAAAAGGTTTCATATAAAAAATGTAGTTCGAATTAACAGTTGTTAAATAGTAATTGTTAAATGGAATCTTGTAATAAATTAACCATAAAAACATCTAAGTGTAATTAGTGTGCGGTAACATGAAAACTTGGTCAATTATTCGGAATGGCTCTTTAAGATGTACATTAATACTCTTTTGGTAAGTCAGATAATTTCTTAATCTAGGTATTATAATAAAATGTATAGTTAACCTACTTGTGACACACAAGGTTTCCGTGCAGGCAATTTGCCAATAGTCATGTTAAAGTTACAGATTTTTGTAAACAAGTAAACGCACTATTTAGATAAAAAAAAACTGTTGACCTTTAGTCATTCTTGTTAACCTTTCCTGAAAAATGATTGGCGTTGAAATGTAAAAATGAAATATAACATTCAATGAGCGCTATAAATTTAAGACAAATTATGTTTTGTAAAAATCATGTTCTTAATCTTTAGTTTGTCGCTCAAATCAACACGATTATTTTTGTTATTAGTTTTATTGATGTGTGTGTGCGCGTGCATGTCGCACTTGTTTGTTACGTACGGAAACGTTTAAGGACCTCCTTTTAGTGCGATTTGATGATTTGATGATATGGTTTGGCAAGTTGGGTTTGAAATTCGTTAAAGTGAATTGGTCTATAACAGAAGGGCTAAAATACAATGAAAACAGCGATTATACATTAGCTTGAGCCATAAGTACAAGCAAAGAAGTAAATAGGGAAGTTGGCAATATTACTGTACTACTGTATAGCATTACTGTATCCATTCCTAGTATTACTATATTTGTTCCTAGTATTAATTTATCTGTTCCTAGTATTACTATATCTGTTCCTAGAATAACTATATCTGTTCCTTGTACTACTGTATCTGTTCCTATTATTACTTTATCTGTTCCTAGTATTACTATATATGTTCCTAGTATTACTGTATCTGTTCCTAGTATTACTAAATCTGTTCCTAATATTACTATATCTGTTCCTAGTATAACTATATCTGTTCCTAGTATTATTATATCTGTTCATAGTATTACTATATCTGTTCTAAGCATAACTATATATGTTCCTAGTATTACTATATCTGTTCCTAGTATTACTATATTTGTTCCTAGCATTACTATATCTGTTCCTAGTATTACTATATTTGTTCCTAGTATGACTATATCTGTTCCTAGCATTACTATATCTGTTCCTAGTATTACTTTATCTGTTCCTAGTATTACTATATCTGTTCCTAGTATTACTATATTTGTTCCTAGTATTACTATATCTGTTCCTAGTATTACTATATTTGTTCCTAGTATTACTATATCTGTTCCTAGAATAACTTATATCTGTTACTAGTATAACTATATCTGTTCCTAATATACCTATAACTGTTCCTAGTATTACAATATATGTTCCTGGTATTACTTTATCTGTTCCTAGTATAACTTATATGTTCCTAATATTACTATATCTGTTCCTAGTATAACTATATCTGTTCTTTATATTACTATATCTGTTCTTAGCATAACTATATCTGTTCCTTATATTACTACATATGTACATTTGTTCCTAGTATTATTTTATCTGTTCCTTAAATTACTATATATGTTCCTAGTATTACTATTTCTGTTCCTAGTATTACTTTATCTGTTCCTAGTATTACTATATCTGTTCCTAGTATTACTATATTTGTTCCTAGTATTACTATATCTGTTCCTAGTATTACTATATTTGTTCCTAGTATTACTATATCTGTTCCTAGAATAACTTATATCTGTTACTAGTATAACTATATCTGTTCCTAATATACCTATAACTGTTCCTAGTATTACAATATCTGTTCCTGGTATTACTTTATCT